GGGTAGTAACGGATCGTGGTCCCGTGGGGGTAAGCGAGGTACAGAATCGGCGGGCAAAGAGTAGTCGGGTCACACGCAGGGTCAGCAGGGTAAGTCAGTCCGTAGAATGGTCAGGGCAATCCGAGTCAATCACAGGAGCAGGCAGAGTAGTCAGGGCAATCCGGGTCAATCACAGGGGCAGGCAGCGTAGTCAGGGTCAAACAGGGTCACTAGACGGGTGCAGGAACTCAGGATCACAGAAAGACCTTGCGGCAATTACTGACAGTGCAGGGCATCTTTAAATAGTGCGCCCTGCACTGTCATTGGCCGCCCAGGACGCGCCCCCGGGCTGTCTTTGGCCGCCCGAGGCGCGGCCGCGGCTTCCACTGCGCTCCATGCGCGGCGTCCTGTCATCTCCAGCTCGCCGGGACCTGGTGCCTGTGTCCCGGCATGAGCCGTTGCCAGCGCGCATGCGCCGGCCGACGGGACGCCGCGATCCCTGACACCAGTAGGTAAATTACTACACTTTCTACCTTCACCATCAGAAGGCGCCGTGCTGTGCAGCACAAGGGTCTCAGCCTTTGGGCTGGGTGTATGTAAATTTATTGTATTATGTTTCCAGCATTTGTGGTTGTGTTTATTTGCCACATCTAAGTAAAATTCTGTTGTGGCAAAAGCTGGTGTTGGGGTTGCTTTCCTCGTTCATGACTTCACTGTATCCTGGGGAGCCCACCCCGGTACACGGCTTACAAAGCTGTGAACACAGGTGAACTTGGCAAAGTCCTGGGTCTTCAGCTAGCTCAATAAGGGCCCAAAGGATTGCTGTGCAATGGTGACCAGCAATAATAGATATTTTGTGTAGCTGATTCCAGGTAAAGGTCTCAAACTTGTAAGCAGGTGTGAGTTATAAAGGTGTTTGCATGCAGTGTCCCTTAGTGTAGAGTGTACACAGTGTGGGCTTCGGCCGCTCACCAATCCTAATGATAGCACAGCTCAAGGGATCCAGGGTGTCCTGGAAAGCTCCCACAGAATCTGGTTTAATAAATAGTGATGGGACTGATGTTCGAGTTGAACTTACGTTCGGCTGTTCGTGTGTTCGGTGAACACTTGATTTGTAAGGGCGTGTGGCAGGCTGTTCACCCGTCGTGCCCTACAATGCACTGCACTCTGACAGTGTATTGTGATGGCCAAAGCAATGCACCTGATCACAGCAATGCTTTGGCCAATCACAGCACAATTGGACGGAGCTAGTGGTGATCTCACTGTTAGCTCCGCCCAATTGTTTACATGTCAGATAGTGGTGAGTGCTTGGCGGGTGTGGACGGGTTGGCAGGCATCAGGTTTTTTTTGGAACCATTTTTTTGGCTTTTTTTTCTATAAAGGACTAGAACTGTTGTGTTTTTATTCACATTTTTAGTGAATGGGTAATGGTACTATGTACCCAATACTCATTCAGAAGAGGGGGGAGCGCCAGGATCTGGGGACCTCCTTGCTAAAGGGGGCTTTCTAATTCTGTCACCCCCAGCATTCCCCCACAACCACAGCCCAGGGTTGTGGGGAAGAGGCCCGTGTCCCTAACAACATGGGTACAAGGTGCTTTGGGGAGGAGCCCCCCCTATGCCAAAGCACCCCCCCATGTTAAGGGCATGTGGTGCTCGTTCGTCCCCTTCCCTTTCCTGGCCTGCCAGGCCTGTGCTCAGATCAAGGGTCTGGTAGGAATTTTTGGGGGACCCCCATGCTTTTTTCGTTCATTTTTTGGGGGTGCTTAAAAGTGCTATCAGGCCTAAAGGCCCTGGTATGGCTTTTGGGGAGAACCCCACACACTTCCCCCCTCATTTTTGGGAGGTGTGGTTCCCTTTCAAAGTCCTACAAGGCTTATAGGGTCTGATATGGCTTTTAGAGGGATCCCCACACACTTTACCAAAAAAAAAAATTACTGTGGGACCCTCCTAACCCTCTTACTGGACCTAAAATGTCTGTATGGATTGGGGGGAACCCAACACTGTTGTTTTTTTTTTTTTTAATAAAAATTTAATTTTTAAAAAAAAATGTCAGACCTGCTGCAACAGGTTCTATACCAGGGGAGGACTGACCATTTGGAAACTCGGGCACTGCCCGAGGGCTCAGGGTCAGTAGGGGGCCCCGTGAGATGCCCCTGGTACCTTTTTCATAGGCTTTTTTGAGTTTGGGCAAGGACACAGGGGCCCCATGATCCCCTATTGCCCGGGGGCCCCATGAGTTGTCAGTCTGCCCCTTTTCTATACATTGCACAGATGTACAACTTTATTGGTAGTTTAAGGGGACCTCACCAGGCATGATATTTAAAGGAATTATGTTTTACTTTAAGCAATGAAAAATGACTGCCCCTTTAAAAACTGTACTTTAAAAAAAAATATTTCACTGATTCTTGTCCCTCAGGACAGTACCGAGTCCCCATACCCCTTTTATGGCCAATAACTTGCACATAATCCTTCAAAATGGGCACTTTTGAATTTACAAGTTCAAGCCCCAATGACTTGCATTATGTTCGACATTTGTGATCAAACTTTAGTTTGAATTAACTGAACAGGGGGGTGTTCGGCCCATCACTATTAATAATTATTGCCAAGTTTATCTAAATTCTTTTTGGCTTTTTTTTGCAACAAAATTGGCATCACTCTGAGCTTCCTGTGAACAAATTTAGCCTAATGAGGTTTAAATTAACTGAGCACACTAGCAGAATGGGATGAGATACTATTGTCTATTAGTGAAATATGAAAACACACCAACAAAATGAAGAGTCAATGAGCCAAAAATTATTAACGTCTGACTATGTTGAGATAAAGACCTACATATATAATCCTTCAAGGTGCGCATATTGTAAAATGTCCCGTGGCTTCTTTCAGCAGTTAATTACTCTCAGCGAATAGTTGAGGGTGTAGGATCTCCAAATTAATTCTTACAGTTCCATTAGACTGCCATGGCTTCCTTCATTCTTGTGCAGAGTGGGAGTTCTACTTGTCTTCAGATGAGCGCTAACGCATTTCACTTCTGCCACAGTAGAAAGGCATAAGAAAACATAAATGAATGTCTACAGATAATGGAATTTTAATAGCGACGCTTAACAGAACTCGAAGCATGAAATTCCCCTTCCAGATTTCCATTTTATTTACTCCCTTTTTACAGATCAGTTATCTGTAGACAATCATCATTGACGGGGAAAAAACACAACCAGTGATGTCCTTCACTACATCATGGGAGCTCACCCTGGAGAATTTCTCCTCTGTCTGAATAGTTTAGACTCCCATATTTCCAGACTTCACAGGATCCCAACTAGACACGGTCCATTAATGTTCTTATTGCTGAATCTGCAAAAGGTACACTACAGTCAAATATGAACATTTAGCATTATGAGGTACTCTAGAGTCTTGTTAAATGGGTATTATCATTCAGTTTTAAAAAGCCTCTATAAGGAAAAACATTGTATGGTGACTGTGTACAAATAAAGTGCAGCGCTAGAAATGCATAAACTGTATGAAAATATTAATACGGTAATTCTCATAAAATATATATGATCAAGACGTATATGCAAAAGAATAAAGTGCAAATCAGTGCGGTTGTGCATATAAGTGAATCAATCAATGCCCATAATATAATTATAAATCAATCAGCAAATATTGAACAATAATAGTCCTCAAATTGATTGCAATGCATCCAAGTGAAAAAAGTGCAGATGTGCAAGTATCCACGAAGGGAATTTACCACCTCAGACGGATGTACACTCACCAGAAATTAAAGATTAGCAGGCATCTGTTATATCTGTCACATCTGGAGGTGCATGAACAAAGAGGCAGTTTAGGGGTTAATCCTACAGCATCATCAGCAAGTGGGGTGAGAATGTCAAGGTCCTACCTTTCCTCAGAGATTGTGTTGCTCCATGTGCTGGCATCCATCTTAAGTTCCTGCAAAGCATGGTGGGAGCCTTTATGCTTTCAGGCCTCTGTGGCTCCTCCTCCAGAAGGGTGTAGCTGATCACATTTAAGCCTGCTGTCTGCAGTTGCTCTTTGCATTCGTGTCCTGTATGTTCCTTTGCAGTGTCGTCAGTCGCTGCGTACCTGCGTGACAGCCGCTACTCACAGACCAGAGTCCCTCAGGGCACAGAGTCTAAGCCCAGGCTGCCCTTCACCAGGGCCCCCGATGGTGGGGATGGACTTGACGCAGCCTGAGACCAGGCCGTGGCCCCCGAGTAACCCCAGCTGTGGTAACGACTGCCGCCAATGGCGTACAGCTGGTGGGAGCCAGATGGAAAACGTATAGCGTGGTCGGACAGGCCGGGTCGATAACAACGGAGCAAACAGCACAAGACGGTAGACAAGAATACTCAGGTCACGGGCTGGGTTCAGCAATGGGATGTCAGATTAGATTAGGCCTGCCTGCCCATTCCACCGCTCCTACGCTGACAGAGAATCCTTTGTCCTGGGAAAGATAGCTCAACCACAGGAGCCAGAGACGCTAATAGAGTGTAGTATTTATTAATAATATAGATAGTTCAAAAGCAGTTAAAACATTCCACGTGGAGTAAGGTAAAAATCCGATACCAAGATGGCCGCCACTGCAGCGGTGGCGTGACGTCAGCAATGTAGGCTCCAACCAACGCTTTTCATGCGACAGCACGTCTTCAGGGGTATGCCCATTGTCGAGGTCGAGTGCAGGTCTCATTTAAATAGCTTGCAAGGCATGAACTCCGGAGATGCCGACGCCATTTTGTTGATGATTTGTGATCATGTGGTTTAGCTTACTCCATGTGGAATGTTTTACTGCTTCCACGTGGAACTAAGGGGCAAAGCCCAACCCCCGAAAAACAGCCCCACATCATAATCCTCCTCCACCAAACTTTAAACTTGGCACAATGCAGTCAGGCAAGTACCGTTTGGCTGGCAATCACCAAACCCAAACACGTCCATTGGATTTCCAGACAGGGAATCATGATTAGTCACTCCAGAGAACACATCTCCACTGCTCTAGAGTCCAGTGGCGGCATGCTTTAGACCACTGCATACAACGCTTTGCATTGCACTTGGTGATGTACGGCTTGGATGCAGCTGCTCAGCCATGTAAATCCATTCCATGAAGCTCTCTACGTACTGTTGTTGTGCTAATCTGAAGGCCACACAAAGTTTATGAAGGTCTTTAACCTCCTTGGCGGTATTCCCGAGTGTAGCTCGGGGTAACATTTCAGTACCAAGAGCGGTAACCCCGAGCTACACTCGGGAATACCATGCGGCACTGCTCCGGCATTTGTTCTTCACTTACCTTACCCGGCGCTCCCGCGATGTGTCCCCTGCAGCGTCCCCGGCCATCTCCTTCGGCCGATGCCGGCATCCGCCTCCTGTGTTCCGGTCCCTGTGACGTCGGGACGTACGGGCGCCGCTGGCGGCGGGAAATTTAAAAATTTTAAAAAATTTCATTTTTTTTTTTTTTACATTTTACATAGTAAAACATTGCTGTCTCAACCAATTTCACATACATTTTGTCCCGAGTGCTTTGTCCTGCGCCCTGCCTGCATTTTGTCTGTTCTTTCTGCCTGGAAACTGAGAAACGTCCATGGCGTCCAAAAAGTGTCCCTTTAGGTCAAAAGTGGTTTTAGACCAGCTAGAGAACAGCGATAGTAAATTAGAACCACTTGCAGAATTGAGTGATAATGATTCGTGGGGGAAATTCCATCATCAGACAATGAAAACGATTTTGCGACTTTGCTCAGCAATGTGCGAACTTATTGTGGCGCTATATTTCAAATTTCAGTGTTTTTGGTTTGATTATATTATTGAATTAAATGTATTATTATTATATTATTATTTTTTATGATTATTTATTAAATTATAATTTATGATTTCGTGTTTCAAATTTTATCCTCCCCGGGATGTTTACTAGACTCTTGTTCGGACAGATTTCAGTGAGTTATTCCTAAATATTACAGCCTACAATAAAAAAACTACATATTTCCATGCACAAAAATGGTACCGTTTTCAGCACCAAAAATCAGAAATAATCATACCGCCAGGGAGGTTAACTACTGAATCTGCAGACAGTTGGCGACTTCTGCGCATTTTGTGCTTCAGCATGCGCTGACCCTGCGATGAAATTCCCAGTTGCTTCCACTTTGTTATAATACCACTAACAGTTGAGTGTGAAATATTTAGTAGCCAGGAAATGTCACGGATGGACTTATTGTACAGGTAGCAACCTATCACGGGACCACGCTTGAATTCACTGAGCTCCTGAGAGTGACCCATTCTTTTGTTTGTAGAAGCAGTCTGCATGCCTAGGTGATGATTTTATACACCTGTGGCCATGGAGGTGATTGGAATGCCTTAATCCAATGATTTGGAGGGCTGGCCCAATACTTTTGGAATTATAGTGTGTTTTATATACTGTGTATATATACTGTATTTTTCGCTCCATAAGACGCACCTAGGTTTTAGAGGAGGAAAACAAGAGAAAAAAATATTCTGAACCAATGGACTGCAGACATAGTACAGGAAATGACTAGAAACTGCAGACATAGTATAGGAGATGACCAGAGACTGTGGATATAGTACAGGAGATGACCAGAGACTGCAGACATACTACAGGAGATGACCAGAGACTGCGGACATAGTACAGGAGATGACCAGAGACTGCGGACACAGTACAGGAGATGACCAGAGACTGCGGATACACATATATATATATATATATATATATATATACACATACACACGCACAATGCCTTGACACACACAGTTCACAAATGTTCTCTAACAAACCTCTGAGGGTTTCTCAGAACAGTTGTATTTATACTGAGATTAAATTACACAGGTGAACTTCTATTTACTAATTAGGTGACTTCTGAAAGAAACTGGTTCCACTAGATTTTAGTTGGGGGTATCAGACTAAAGGGGCTGAATACAAATGCAAGCCACACTTTTCAGATTTGTTTTTGTAAAAAAATTTGAAAACCATTTATCATTTTCCTTCCACTTCACAATTATGTGCCACTTTGTATTCATCTATCACATAAAATTCCAATCAAAATCCATTCATGTTTTTGATTGTAACCATGACAAAATGTTGAAAATCCTAAGGGGTATGAATACTTTTTCAAGGCACTGTGTGTGTGTGTGCGTATATATATATATATATATATATATATATATATATATACAGTTGTGTTCAAAATAATAGCAGTCAGACATCACTAATCTGATCAATCACTGTTTTTGGTAGAAATTACATTTCTACATGGCAAATAATTTCCTAGCAGGTGTAGCAGAGTAATAGAAATCCAACAGACCCAACAGAGTCATGACATGCATGCTGCTGATTCTGTGTCATTGAATCACTAATTGAAAGGGGCATGTTCAAAATAATAGCAGTGTGTTCTATTAGTGAGGTCATTCATTCTTTGAAAAACAGGTGGCAATTATTGCCCTTATTTAAGGAAGGAAGGCAGCAAATGTTATACACGCTGGTTACAGTGCATTTCTCTCTGAAATTCTGAGGAAAATGGGTCGTTCCAGACATTGTTCAGAAGAACAGCGCACCTTGATTAAAAAGTTGATTGGAGAGGGGAAAACATATAAAGAAGTGCAGAAAATGATAGGCTGCTCAGCTAAAATGATCGCAAATGCTTTAAAATGGCAACCAAAACCTGAAAGACGTGGAAGAAAGCAAAAAACTACCATTCGAAAGGATAGAAGAATAGCCAAAATGGCACGGACTCAGCCAACAATCAGCTCCAGGAAGATGAAAGAAGGTGTGAAGTTCCCTGTGAGGACTGTTACAATTAGAAGACGCCTATGTGAAGCCAAGCTATCTGCAAGAAGCCCCCGCAAAGTCCCATTGTTGGAAAAAAGACATGTGCTGAAGAGGTTACAATTTGTCAAAGAGCACATTGACTGGCCTAAAGAGAAATGGCGCAACATTTTGTGGACTGATGAAAGTAAGATTGTTCTTTTTGGGTCTAGTGGGCCGGAGACAGTTTTTGTCAGTCGACCCCCAAACACTGAATTCAAGCCACAGTACACTGTGAAGACAGGGAAGCATGGTGGTGCAAGCATCATGATATGGGGATGTTTCTCATACTACGGTGTTGGGCCTATTTATCGCATACCAGGGATCATGGATCAGTTTGAATACATCAGAATACTTGAAGAGGTCATGCTGCCTTATGCTGAAGAGGAAATGCCCTTGAAATGGGTGTTCCAACAAGACAACAACCCCAAACACACCAGTAAAGGTGCAACATCTTGGTTCCAGACCAACAAGATTGATGTTATGGAGTGGCCAGCCCAATCCCCGGATCTTAATCCAATAGAAAACTTGTGGGGTGACATCAAAAATGCAGTTTCTGAGGCAAAACCAAGAAATAGAGAAGAACTGTGGAATGTGGTCCAATCATCCTGGGCTGGAATACCTGTTCACAGGGGCCAGAAGTTGGTTGACTCCATGCAACACAGATGTACAGCAGTTCTCAGAAACAGTGCTTATACAACCAAATATTCATTAAGTCATTCAAAGGAAAGCAAAATCTTCAAACATTTTTCAGTTTATATAGTGAATGTTTGAGTTTGTAAAGAAGAATACAAACACTGCTATTTTTTTGAACAGTCTAATATTCAATTTTCTTCAATTTTTTTAGAGGAACAACACAAATTTGATATATTTTTCTTCATGTTTTGATTTGGAATAGAAGGTGTAGTGTTCCCAATGCATTTGTGTGTATGGAAATAAAAGCTATTAGAAGGATTTTTAGCTTCATTCACTTTTTTCAACACACTGCAATTATTTTGAACACAACTGTGTGTATATATATATATATATATATACCAATATATAATATATATATATATATATATTTTTTTTTTTTTATTTCAGTTTATCTTAATTTCGATTTTTTTGTCCATCAATAATCACAGTAATGAGGATTGAGACAAACACTGCTAGGGGTGCTTGCAGAAACATTTTTTTTTTAACATTAGGCCAGCAGAGGAGAAATGGATAGAGGGGATACAAGACTATGAGACGAAACAGGCTAGGGGAAGGTAAAGACATAAGGTTCCTCTAAAAAAATGGACGGCGCTATATAAGTACCTGAAATAAATAAATAAAACAATATGGCCAGAGAGGTTGACCAGCCTGTCCAGCTCTCATTTATTTTGGGATGTCTGGGTGGGTTGGTGGTATACTTGCCATTGCATAGGGGGTCCTTGAGGGCTAGGGGAAAGGATGGGATAACTATAAAACAGGAGTTCATCTGGTGGCATGGTGCTATTCTTTGGCTAGTTTTTTCTCCCAGGTGTTCACAACCTGGAGGAAGTAAGAAGCACACAATTTGGAACTGTCCTTGATTCAGTGGGATGTGGCTAGGTACAGGTTTGTTTATGTTAGTGGCCACCCAAAGACCTCTTGTTTCATATGCCAATGAAACACCAATGTCGGCATTATACATTATATCTTGGTATCGCTATTTACTGTTATAGATGTTATTTTTTGCTTGTGGATGAATAAAAAGGCTAATTTAACTATTAAAACCTAGGACACCCAGTTGTTGACTTTTTTTTTGGTTTTAGAAAAAAAGGCCAAAACTGCCCAATCCCTTATGGTGGCTGCATAAGCTTTGATTATTTTATCTGATCAATGTATGTGCTTCGATCACAATAATAAAATCTGCAAACAATCAAATGGACACCGTTAGTCAAGAAAATGTAAAACCATGTGAACAAAAATGACAGCTGTAGGCATTCCTGGCAGTATTGTGCCACATACTGTCACCTTTGCAAAGTTCTTTCTATTAAGGAAACATGAGAACATCTCTACTTTATCTTTGATGGTCTGTACAGGGGAGGATCTTGCACAACAGAGGTGTCATCATTCAGATATGCCTACCATGCTAACTTCTCTGTACATATATATACAGGTTCTGGGCTACAGCAATATGGAGAAGACATTGTCTTTTATGCTTCTCTCCCTCTATTGAGGTACTGATGTTATGCTGCACCATCATCATCTGACCAGCAGTGGGGTGAGCTAAAGCCAAGCAAGCCCATAAACTTCTATGCAGAATGCTGAGAATCCTGGGAGTTGTAGTGTGAGATGGCAGCCATATAATGGGGCCAACGGACTCCTTACAGTACAGATCCCAATAGGCACTGCGCAGTAAGAAGATTGGAGAGATGAACAGGAAAGGTTCTTCCTCTTGGCACCAAGGGGCTTAGAGAGAGAACACCTCTATTTGGATATTAGCCTGCCAATGGGAGACCATACCAGAGAAGATCCAATCCTGAGACTGGGAGTGAAGACACTTTGGGGCAATGCAGCACCATTTACATCACAGCACCTGCATCCCTACCACAGGGAAACTAGAACATCCACTCCCCCTCTGCTTCCCACCGCAGATCATTAATAGTGTAGTGCATGTAGCTGTAGCTGTCTGCACATGCTGGAAGCCAATGAACAATAGTGAAGGGGTGATTGGTGAGGGAGCCTTTTCTCTGTGCGTTGTTTACTGTGGGTTGCTGGGATGCCAGGGACAGCCATTTCAGGGGTGCAGACTCCTTGAAATGGGGGCGGTACCCAGTACCCAGAAAACAGGGACAGATGGCTTCCTAGACTTTGCCCATGTTGCTCCTGCTGAACCCCTAGGCCTCAACGTACCCAATCAGTATGAGAACACACACAGTCTTTGATTGTAGTAATTATCTTATATACAGGGGTTTGACAAAATTATGGAAACACTAGGTAAAAGTAAATTGTTACCTAATATGGTGTTGGACCGCCTTTGGCATCCAAGATGGCCTGAATTCTCCTGGGAATTGACAAATATAAGTCTCGGATTTGGATAATGGAATCTGATACCACTCTTTATGCAAAAATTGTTCCAGTTCTCCCAGAGATGCCAGAGGCGGAAAATGAGCCCGAACAGTGTTCTCCAAAATTGACTATAGTGGCTCTATGATATTGAGGTCCGGTGACTGTGGCGCCCAGGGAAGGTGCGAGACTTCGTCTGCATTCTCGTCAAACCAAGATCTGACAACACCAGCAGTGTGAATCAGAGCATCATCGTCTTGATAAATGGCGCTGTTTTCGGGATACAATGCCTGCACCATGGGGTGCACATTGTCGG